TGCGGTGTTTATTGGTTGCTTTACGTATAGCGGTTTATTGGTTATCCGCTTGCTTTGCCAGTGTTTGCGATGCGCTTGCCCGTATCTCGCGATTTGGTCGTTAGTTCGTTGCCTTCCCTGGAGTCGTAGATCTTGGGCCGGCTTGTTTGCTCCCGAGAGCGCCTGGTTCGGCGCTTCTCGGGGCCTCACAGTGCTACACCGCACGGCAACATTTACAGTCCGTAATCGTTGTTAGAGTCCAACGAAAGCCTATTATACTGACCGTGCATAGCGCTACCACCGCTGCGTCGCAATAGCCGGCTTGGCCAGCCCTATCGCGTAGCACCTATCTAGCACACCAGCCTGCTATTCAGTAGCCGTATTAGCGCCGGCAATCGGAGCGTAGGGCCTCAGCCGCCTACTTACTTCGGGCCTCTGCGACGTCGTGGCGCGTCGCACCGCTTACAGTATCGCCTACATCATATAGGGGTTACCGGGCGGCGCCTTTGGCTACCACATCCCGGTGCGGAGTGTCCCTCAGCCACACTTCGCGTCAGCATAAGGCCTCATTCTCAGGCAGCTGACTAATCCCTGGTGCTCCTTGCCGGCACCACCCATTCAACAATTCAAGCATAGGATTGTTGTTTGGTCAACCCGCTCCTTTGCCCCGAGAAGCGCCTTCCAGCCAAGGCAGCATCGACCGTGACATCGCGCGAACTACCTCGCCGCGAGTTCAACGTTATGGCATCCCAAGCCGGTGCTCTTCCTGAAATTGAAGAAGATATTGAGACGCTGCTCGGCCACGACGGTGCCGTCGCTCCGGACCCGACTCCGGCCGATGCAAGGGCTGTTCGTCGCGCTGGCTTCAACGTGGCGCGCAACCTTACCATGGGCGTGCGCCGCCTGGAGGATCTCGCCATGGGCGAGGGAGGAGACCAAGGGCTCGACTACGTGGACGGCGCCGCTGAGGAGCTCCCTCCACAACCTCAGACCGGGTTAGATGGGGAGGGGCAACAGGGGGGAATGGATGATGCGGACTCCTTTAGCTTTGGTCTTCCACCAGCCCAACAGCTAGGGGGGTCTGACGGGCCGCAGCCGCTTGCAGCGGGAGGGACTGATGGGCAGCCGTTAGAGGGGGGCGGGGAGCGCGAGCCCGCTGCCGATGAGAACCCGTCACCTTACGGTGTGCGATCTCTGCTGCTCTGGGGGGGCCGTGGCCACGCCGCCGCGTCCGCCGCCCAACCACCGGCTGCACCGGCCCCTGCGCACGTCAGGGGCGCCGCCGCTGCCGCCGCTGCCCCTGCCGCAGCGGTCGCGCCCAGTGGCGGTGCTCTACCTGCAACGCCCCGCCCAGTGATGGGCGCCCTCTCGGTGTATCAAAACCCTGCCTTCCAGTCCCCTGCGCCCTCCCCCGCCGGCAGTTTCATCACGGCGCGCGGCATGGACTCGCTGCCAGCTACACCGCCGACGGCAAGGCCTGGATCCCCACCACCTCGCAGCCGTGTTGTCCCCACCCGGTCCGGTGGCATAGCCCCCGCTGCGGTGAACAGTCTGCAGGGACTGTTGCGCGGCGACAGCAACGGCCGTGGCATGTACGGGATGTCGCAGCTCAGCCACACCGCAGCGCGCGCTGGTCGCCTGGGCCCTGCACAACGTATCCCCAGTACAACCCCGCCGGTGGAGGAGGCGGCGGCGGCCCCCTATCAGCCGCAGCAGCACTTCACCGCGCCGCCGCCGCTGCCGCAGTCATCGCCGTTGCAGCAGCAGCCACCGCAGCCGAACCCCATGTCGTCGTTGCCTGGCCCGTCTGCCGTTGCTCAACAGCAGCCAGAGTTCGAGTTCGACCCTGCCGGTGGTGTCGATGATGCTGTTGCGACCTGGTTTGGCCTGGGCGACATGGTCGAGCCGCCCATACCGCTGCACGACCTCTGCCTGCTAGCTCGTCGCCTACAGACCGACGGCGCGTTCTTGCAGGCGCACGGCTGGCATGACGGCAAGCTGGTCTCCGCGGAGGCTCTGATCAGCGCCTTAGAGCCGCCGTTGGTCCCAAGGGCGTCCGTGCGCTACGGCCCCGACGACTACAGCACGCAGCAGCTGCTTTGGCACCTGCACGACCTCAACCAACGCAACCGGCAGCGCAGCTCGACAGCCTACGTCACGGCTGACGACCTCATTGCCGACCTGCTGCGGCGCCTCAAGGCCCAGGTCGGCGACGGCCCGCACTGGCTACAGTATGCACATGAGCTGAGGGAGTACCTGCGGGGCAACGGGCGGGGTTCAGTGGCGCCGCCGCCAAGACTGATCTCGTCGCTGGCGGGTGCTGGCACATCGGCGGCGGCCCCTCGGGGCACGCCGCCGGCCGCGGCGGCAGCCACAGGGCAGCCGCCGCTCGTGCCAGTCCGCCTGCAGCCCCCGCGCAAGGAGCCGCCCCCGCAGCCCCACCGCCGCCATCGCCGCCAGCCCCGCCTGCGCCCAACCCTGCAGCCCCCGCCGCGGCAGCTGCAGCTGCAGGGGTTGACGATGAACCGCCGCCCTTGGGCGCCGCTTACGCATCCCACCTTAATGAAGTGGGCAGGCGCCAGCTGCAGCTTACCAAGTTCCGCGACCGCTTCGATGGCAAGGCGAGCGACTACACCAAATATGAGTCGGCGGCGAGGGGCTGGGTGCAGACTGCCCTGGTCAATGCAGTACCGGGCTTGCCATGGCCAGACTTCCGTCAACTGGGCAACCTCATGGCCAACCACACGTTCGTCAACTGCTCGGACCCCAGCATCTGGTACGAACAAAGCTTCCTGGATCTGGAGCGCGACCACTACAACGCCTACAGGCAGCGCGGCGGTGTTAAGGAGCAGTACCGCGGGCAGCGGATTGGCGACTTGGGGGACTTCACCGAATACATCCTGCAGGCCCTGAAGCGGCGGTGTGGTGGCAATCGTGGTGATGCGGAGGACTGGTTCAAGGACTTCGCGTGGCCGCCCGACCCCAGCAAGCCGTGCTTCGGCCAGACCCCGGCCAAGGTCTATGCTGAGTACGTGCACGGCTGCAGCAACCTCCCGCAGTTGGAATACCCGCAGGCTCGTCAAGTGCGCAAGCTGCTGGAGGCCAGCCGCAACCTGCGTGGCTATGACTTCATCCGCACCCGGTACGAGGCGCTGAGTGAGCTGCAGCAGCAGGGCTTGACGCTGGAAAGGCTGCGCGACTGGCTGTCTGACATGGAGTCAGCACGCTCCTCCGAGGGGGGCCTGCAGTTCAGAGCGCCTGCTGCCACCACGGCCACCAGTACACGCCGTGCTGCTGCAGCGTTCCACGCCGCTGCTGCGCCCAGCCCGCCCGATACCAGAGCCGCCTCGGACAGCTTCACACTGCAGATGGCGCAGGACCTCGACGCCGCGCTGGAAACCACTTGCCCTGACGCCGGCATTTGGTTCACCAACCACCTCCGCGGTCCTTGCCCGATCCACGCCTGGTACACGGCCACTCCGCACCTGCTGTGTGACTGCCGCGTCGCCAAGGATCGCTGGAAGTCGAGGGACGCAGCAGGCGCGCTGCGCCGGGGCGATGAAGGCATCCTGCGTGCAGAAGCGGAGCAAGTCCTGCCAACTCAGTTGCGTGCTGACCTGCCATTTGCTAGGCGCCGCCGGCCAGCCTATCAGCCCCCGCCGCCCGATAGGCCGCCTCCACAGCAGCAGCGCGCGCCGCAGCCCTCGCGCCAGTCAGCAGGAGCCAATCTGCAGCACCCCTTGGCCACCAGGGCAGCATCGAACCAGTCACGCTCGCGGGTGGTCCCAGCGCACCACGCCGCTGCCGGCAGCTATGCGGCGCAAGTGCAGGAGCCGCCCCCCTGGCAGGACTTGATCAACGGCCAGCAACTCCTGTACTACCATATCGGCGAGCAGCATCAGCAGATGCAGGCCATGTCCGCCGCCCTCCTGCGTATCCACCCGCATGCCCAGCTGCCCTACCTTCGGCACCTGCGACCGCCGGAGCCGGTGGCGTCCCACCTGCCCCACCCGTCGGCCCAGCACGTGACACCAGTGGCAGCCACGGCACCCGCCATAGCGCCGGCGCCCGCGCACGCCGCCATGCCGCCCGGCGCCATGTACGAGCCTGCTGGACCGCACAGCGTCATGCATGTCGGCATGCACGGCGCGCCGCCGTCAGCCAGCCAGCCGCCTGGCGCCGTGGCCCCGCCTACGGCTGGCTACACGCCGGGCATGTCGGCATACTACGCCACCATCAGCAGCATCCCGCCAGCTGACGCCCCTGCGGTGGCGTACGCAGCGGCCCCAGCGCTGCCGGCCCTGGCGCAGGTGGCCACCAACGGACCCCTTGGGTTCGAGCAGCGTGCGCCCGCCGAAATCCTGCCACACTTGCGCTCCCAGCCGGCCAAGTTCGCAGGTGATCCGCATGCAGTGACCAGCACCTCCAGGCAGCGTCGCCTACGCTGTCCTCGCTCCTGCAGCAGCTCCTGGCGGGCCTGTCTCAGGCAAGCGGCGCCGCGGGTTCACTGCAGCGGCTTTGTGGCACCGGATCCTCGTCATCCGCTGCCCCCATCCCGGCAGCGGTCGCCGCTGCAGCCGCCGCGGCCGCCAACACCAGCATCCTGCGCTCGGGATCCCTGCCATATCTCCAGCAAGCCCGCCGCACCACCGGCCTGCTGGTCAGCAGTGCAGCTCGGCCCATGGGCCAGCTGCTTGGCAGGGTACTGGTGGACTCGGGCAGCGCAGTGCACATCATGGCGCAACGGGTTGCCAGCAGCCTGGATCTGGACGTCATCCCCTTCCCGTCGCTGTCCATCGCCACGGCGGCGGGACGCAGCAGCGTCTTGGGTGTCACGGAGGTCACCTTCAGCTTCGCCAGCGGCACGCCCGACGCCATCACCCACCGCACGTCAGCCCTGGTCGTGGAGGACACTGGTGCAGAGGCGTTTGACCTGATCCTGGGCACCGAGGTCCTGTGGCACAACTTCGGCTGCGACATCCTGCTGGGTGGCCCCATGCCGCTGCTCCGGCTGCGCCGAGGCTACGTGCACCCGCAGCCCTGCGCCCACCTCCCCACCACCTCCCTGCCCATTGCCATGCCTGATCCACCGCCAGCTGCCAACGCCACCGCCCTTGACGTCGGTGGCGCCTCGCTGCTGCAGTCCCAGCCGCTGGAGCAGCCGCTAGCAGCGCTACCAGCCACCGCCGGCCTGCCTCGTGCCGCCGGCGGCCAGCCATGACGCAGCCGCCGTCCGCAGCGGAACGGCAGGGTTCCGCTGCCGGGTCGTCGCCGCCGTGCCGCGGCGACACAAGTCCGGGCAGTTGTGCTCCGGATGGGCGTCGGTTGCCTCCGCAGGAAGCGGAATTCGAGCGGCTGCCGCAGGGCATGCTGTTGACAAAGCGTTCAGACCTGTCAGCAGTACAGCGGGAACAGCTGGTGCAGCTGTTGCGGGAGCATGACGACCTCTTCGCCCGCAGCCTGACGGACTTAGGCGAGTACAGGGGTGACGTAGGGCCTTTCCGCATTGACCTGATCCACGACCGGCCTATTTGGCAGCGACCATGGAACCACTCCGCTGCCGAGTACGAAGTTATGGATCAGAAGTGCGGGGAACTAGCCGGGGCCAACATCATCGAAACCAGCCGCAGCTCCAAGTATGCCATGAACTCGGTGATGCCGGTTAAGAAGGATGCTAACGGGCAGTTCACAGAGACGCGTTTCTGCCAGGACGCGCGCCGTACCAACGCTGCCACCATGCCTGACCCGTACAGCCCGCCCCTGCCGGAGGAGCTGTTTCAGCGCATAGGGTCTGCCCGTTGGCTAACCAAAGCAGATTGCCGTGCCGCATTTCTGCAAATCCCCATCCTGCCGGAGCACCGTGAGCGCACCTCCTTCTGGTGGCGCCGGGACCTGATGCAGTACCGGCGGATGGTGTACGGCCTGCGCAATGCCACTGCGCACTTCCAGCGGGTTATGGATTTCCACATACGGCAGCACGGGCTGCAGGACTTCGTCTGCGCCTATGTGGACGACCTGCTGATCTTCTCCAACACCTTTGAGGAGCACTGCGAACACCTGCGCCGTGTTTTCGCCATGCTGCGGGCCATCAACATCCGTCTGCACCCGGAGAAGACGATGGTGGCCAGCGACTGTGTGGAGTTCCTGGGGTTTATGGTCTCGGCTGACGGCATGGGCCCTACCCGCGCCAAGGTAGCCGCCTTCCTGGCGCTCACCTCGCCCACGTCAGCCACCGCTCTCAAGACCATCCTGGGCATGTACGGCTACTACCGCGACCTAGTCCACCATTACGCCGACATCGTCGCCGGCATCACGCCGCTGACCTCCAAGAACGTTGTCTGGCGCAGCGACACTTGGCGTCCTGAGCATCAGGCGGTGCTGGACGAGCTCAAGCGCATCTACTCTGAGGAGGGGCTGGTGCTGCGGCGTGTGCACCCCGACCGGCCCTTGATCCTGCATACGGACTTCTCAGGTGTGGGAATTAGCGGCGTGCTGGGTCAGCTGGACGACCAGTCGCGGGAGTACATGTGCGCCTGCATATCGCGGTCGCTGAACGTGCATGAGCGCAAGTACACCAGCTACAAGGGCGAGCTGCTGGCAGTGGTCTGGGCCGTCAAGCTGCTGCACAGCTACCTCAGCAGCCGGCCGTTCACGGTCGTTACCGATCACGCCCCGCTGCTGTGGCTGATGACGACCTCGGAGGGCCTCACCCCGCAGTACGCTCGCTGGGCGCTGACGCTGCAGGCCTACGACTTTGACGTCGTGCACCGCCCAGGCCACCTCCACCAGAACGCGGATGCCCTCAGCCGCAGCCCGCTCCCGTCTGCCCATGACGGTTCTGGTGCCCGTCTTGACGAGGAGGATGACCCCGTTCGCCCACCGCCGGCGCTCGTGGCTTATCCTGGGGTGGAGTGGCCGTCGTTCGCCTTCCGCCGCCGCCTGCCCACGGCCGCGGCGGTACTGGCGGCCCGTTTCGCGCTGTCCCCGTCCACAGCGTCGCCAGCCAGTGTCATCTCCTACGCCGCCAGCTTGGCGCCCGTGGCGCTGCTGCCAGCATACACGGTCGTTGCGGCAATCCCCGAGCGCATCCGCTGCTTGTCGCTGCATGCAGTGGAGGCGTCGAGCGCCACCAGCAGCCTGGTCGTGTCAGCTGGAGAGCTTGCAGATCCCGTGCCTGATCCGGTGCCCCCTGCCATGCGCCGCGCGACCATGCAGGTGCGGCTCGAGCGCCCTGCGCTGCGCGCCATTGTGCCGGTCAGCGCCCTGCCGCTGCGCCTGCGGGTGCCCGACCAGGCGGTGGTCGGCATCAACACGGCGCTGGTGCAGCACGGCCTGTTCCCCGTGGCGCTGGGAGGTGACGGTGTGGCGGTTCTGGAGCTGCCGGGCGGCCTCTGCTCGGGCCTGCTGGCGTGCCTGCAACTGGGCCTGCGAGTGCGCCGCTATATTCCCCTTAGCGGCGACCCCACCTCGCAGGCAGCTGCTGCGGCGCTGCAGCCGTATGTGGTGCGGCAGTATGGCGGCTTGCTGGCGGCTGGTGCTTGGGACGAGGGGTTGCGCGCGCCGGCATGCTCGGCGACGGAGCTGGTGCAGTGGGCCGTGTCGGACGCTGGGGCAGAGGCGCTGGGTCTCCTTACCCAAGGTCAGTGGCTGGTCATGGGCAGTTGGGCGGGCGACGTGGGCTGGTCAGCGCAGTTGTACGTGAGCTTGCTGGGTGCGGTGCAGAGCAGCATGCGGGCGGCAGGGGTCCCGCCGCCGGCCTTCCTGTTGGAGGGTCCCCCGTGCACGCTAGAAGCCGCAGAAGCCGCTGGCCTGCCGTTGGGCTACCCTGCCACTGTTGACGCCGTGCAAACTGGCGCTGTCTTGCACCGTCTCAGCAGCATCTACACCAACCTGGCCAACCCAGCTCACCTGGCTTACTGCCTCCGCCGGCTCCCACCGCCGGCGGACGCAACGCTAGCATCTCGCCTCCCTGACGGCTGGTTCCCAGCCCCAGCCACGCAGCCACTGCCTTCGCCGTACGCGCCGCTTGAGGTCCCGGGCGTCCCATGGGTCGCGCTGCCGCCACTAGCGCTGGTCGGCACGCCGCCGCTACTGCAAGGGGCCAACCGCGTTCCTGCAGTGCCCGATGCCGCCTTGGTCGCCGCGCTTGCAGGCTTTCCGCCGCTGCCCCAGCATCCCAGTCTGCCAGCCCTGCTGCCGCGTCAGCCACCGCCGCCGGTCCTCACGGCGGCGCTAGCCAGTTGCCTTGCGCTTCATCGCGCCTTCGTCACACCTCATGACCTGCAACCGCTGCAGCCTCGGCACGTAGCCGAACCGGCGCGTCCGCTGGGGGGGGGTGTCAAGTGACGTCGACGCCTTGGAGGCCAGCTTCAGCGTGGACACGCAACTCGGCTCAGGTTTGGCGGCGGCCGCAGCACTGGAGGCAGCTGCGGCTGCGCACGATGCAGCGTGGCTGACGGTACTGGCGTGCGACGTCTTGGTACAGCGGACGCTTGGCTCGGCGGTCGTGGAAGCCACCGCCGTGCTTGCAGCGGCAGCCGAGGTGCAGGAGGAGACAGCAGCAGCGGGCAGCGATCCTGACGTGTGGGGTGATGCGGAGGCCATGGCAGTCATTCGTGCGCCGCTCTCAGGCCGTGTGCCGCCTGGGGAGGCAGCCGGAGCACCTTCCGCCAGGGTGTTGCGTCGCGCGTCGCACTACCGCTGGACTGGCTCGCAGCTGCTGCGCATGATGGCGGATGGCTCCACGCGCGTCTGCCCGCTGCCGGCAGATCGCATGGAGCTGACTCAGCGGACTCATGCAGTGGCGCACTTGGGTGTGCGGCGTACGTTGGCGCTGCTGCAGCTGGGTTACTGGTGGCATGGCATGCGCAGCACTGTTCGGCAGGTAGTGGGCTCCTGCAAGCTCTGCGACATGTGCAACAGCTCTGGCTCGTCGCGACCAGTGCAGCTGCAGCCACTGGCGATCAAGGGCATGTTCTACCGCTGGGGCATGGACTTGGCTGGGCCGCTGCCGCCCACCAAGCCGCACGGCTTCACCTACGTGATGGTGTGCGTAGAACACTTCACCAAGCATGCGGAGTTTCTGCCGTTGCGGGATAAGACGGCGGACGAGACGGCCAGGGGCTTGTTGGAGGTCATCGCCAGGTTCAGCGCGCCGGCGGAAGTAGTGACGGATCAGGGGGGGGAGTTCGAGGGGGCCTTCAGCCGCCTTCTTGAGCAGTGTTACGTGGACCATCGGCCGACGTCTGCGTATCACCCGCAAGCCAACGGTGCAGCGGAGCGGCTGGTGCAGGTGCTCAAGTCAGCCCTGCGCAAGTACTGTGCTGAGAGCGGCAGTCCTGAAACATGGGATCAGCACTTGCCATGGTTGGCTCTCGCCTATCGCTGTTCACCGCAGGCCTCCACCAAGCTTGCCCCGTACACCCTCATGTACGGCGTGCCGCCAGTCGTGCCACCGGCGGTACGAGAGCGCTTCCAGGCGGAGCTGGCCTTCACTGGGAATGCCGGTGAGCAGGTCTACGCGCGGGCCTTGGTGGAGAGGGCAGCGCTGCTGCAGCGGCACGCGCCGGCCGCTGCCGGCAACCTGCTCATAGCGCAGCACAGAGACACCAGGCGGTACGCGCTCGTGCGCTCAGGGCTGTGGCGCCCCCCGCAGCTGCAGTTTGCTACGGGCGACTACATCTATGTCCGGCGGCAAAACCCCAGCAACACGCTGCAGCCGCCGGTGCGCGAGGCCGTCTTGCGAGTGGAATCGGTGGGTCCCTTGGGCATGGCGGTGCTCATAGGACGTGACGGCACGCGCATCAGGCGCCGGGTGGAGCAGCTTGTGCCCTGCCATCTGCCAGACTTGGACCCTATCGTCGACCCGCGGCTCATGCGCCCGGCAGCGGACCACGCCTGCCAGGTCTGTGCCTCGCCTCGTGACGGCGGCAAGATGCTGCTGTGCGACACCTGCGGTACCGGTTGGCACCTGTACTGCCTCGTGCCACCACTGTCGCAAGTCCCCGAGGGCAGCTGGGTGTGCCCGGAGTGCGTGCAGCTGCAGCGGGAGGCGCCGGCGGGGCCTGCGCCGCCCCAGCCGGAGCCCACCGCTGTGCTGTTTCCGAACGCCGCCACGCGGCGGCGTGACGACGAGGCGGCGGCACTGGATGGATGCCGCATCGTACGCATGGTCAGCAAGGGGCGCGGTCGCGGGCGCGAGGAGCAGCTCGGCGTGCTGCGCTACCGCGGCGGTCTGGCGAGGCCCCACTACTTCTATGCCGAGTGGGACGGGGGCTTTGCTGAGGCGGTCGGGCTGCCTGCGGCGAAGCGCATGCTGATGCCGGAGCAGACGAGTACGAGGAAGAAGGGCAGGTAGCGTTGTTTTTGGGCTAGGAAAAGGCGTGCCATGCCGCGCGGCCGAGAAGGGGGTATTGCTTAGGTTGTGGAAGTTAGGTTGGCGTTGCCGGCTCAGCTGATTTGGCATGTTTCATCGCTGGAGCATGACAATCCGGCGGCTCCAAGACGCGCGCCGGTTGGTATCAGGCGTACATGCGCCAGCCCTTGCATGCTACTTCCCACTGCCCGGCCAGGGAGCGCCCGCTGGCAATGCCGTGCATGTCCTTGCTGTCATCCCAGCCCCACACGCGTGACAAAAGCCCTTCCATCTGAAGCGGTCAATGCCGTACCGGGACTGCTGACGTACCTTCCCTGCACATAAAGATGAGAACTGCGCCGACGTCATACCGGCCGCGTGGCCTAATGGATAAGGCATCGCCCTCCGGCACGTACGGAAGTAGGCGGGGATTGTGGATTCGAGTCCCATCGTGGTCGCAAAACGTTTTGCTTTTTGCCGTTTAACGGCTCGCATGCACGGAGGAACGGGCTGGAAGTGTAGTACAAGGGCAAGGTGTACTCATAGGTTGGTTGGAACCCTCGCCAACATCGACTCCTTCAACACGGCCCCCCATACTCGGCGCTGCACACATGTGTTGACATGTGCCTAAGCTTGAAGGCTGGCAAGGTGCGTCGCTGGAATCCGCAGCGATGACAACATCCTGTATTGCCGGGCCACATGCCCCAAGACCTAGCAGACAACACGACGCTTGCGGGGAGACGGGGGTCCCACTGGCCTTCTGCGCGGGTTCAGGGGTTCAGGGGCGGATGCTTGCAAGGCAGCTGCACATCCCGATATGGCTGGATGGCGGGTCGAACGAAGGCTACTGCTGCACATGAGCACATGGCTAGCTGGAATCCAGACCCTGCAGAGCTGCACATGCACAGATGCATGGTGCACACCTGAGATGACAGATAGATAGAGGAGAGAGGCAACCAGGCAACCGTGTCAGGAGGCCGGTTGGCTGGAGGGTAAGCGGTTCGGTCACTAGGATGCTGGGGTGCGAGCATGCCTACGCCAGCCACCGGAGTACCTGCCGTATTGAGTAAACAGCAAGCCATGTAGGCCCCTCCGCTCTACACGCACGTCCTCCAAGGCCGCAAGCAGACCCAAGTGCTGCCCAAGTCATCCGGCGGCTCCAAGACGCGCGCCGGTTGGTATCAGGCGTACATGCGCCAGCCCTTGCATGCTACTTCCCACTGCCCGGCCAGGGAGCGCCCGCTGGCAATGCCGTGCGTGTCCTTGCTGTCATCCCAGCCCCACACGCGTGACAAAAGCCCTTCCAACTGAAGCGGTCAATGCCGTACCGGGACTGCTGACGTACCTTCCCTGCACATAAAGATGAGAAGCGCGCCAACGTCATACCGGCCGCGTGGCCTAATGGATAAGGCATCGCCCTCCGGCACGTACGGAAGTAGGCGGGGATTGTGGGTTCGAGTCCCATCGTGGTCGCAAAACGTTTTGCTTTCTGCCGTTTAACGGCTCGCATGCACGGAGGAACAGGCTGGAAGTGTAGTACAAGGGCAAGGTGTACTCATAGGTTGGTTGGAACCCTCGCCAACATCGACTCCTTCAACACGGCCCCCCATACTCGGCGCTGCACACATGTGTTGACATGTGCCTAAGCTTGAAGGCTGGCAAGGTGCGTCGCTGGAATCCGCAGCGATGACAACATCCTGTATTGCCGGGCCACATGCCCCAAGACCTAGCAGACAACACGACGCTTGCGGGGAGACGGGGGTCCCACTGGCCTTCTGCGCGGGTTCAGGGGTTCAGGGGCGGATGCTTGCAAGGCAGCTGCACATCCCGATATGGCTGGATGGCGGGTCGAACGAAGGCTACTGCTGCACATGAGCACATGGCTAGCTGGAATCCAGACCCTGCAGAGCTGCACATGCACAGATGCATGGTGCACACCTGAGATGACAGATAGATAGAGGAGAGAGGCAACCAGGCAACCGTGTCAGGAGGCCGGTTGGCTGGAGGGTAAGCGGTTCGGTCACTAGGATGCTGGGGTGCGAGCATGCCTACGCCAGCCACCGGAGTACCTGCCGTATTGAGTAAACAGCAAGCCATGTAGGCCCCTCCGCTCTACACGCACGTCCTCCAAGGCCGCAAGCAGACCCAAGTGCTGCCCAAGTCATCCGGCGGCTCCAAGACGCGCGCCGGTTGGTATCAGGCGTACATGCGCCAGCCCTTGCATGCTACTTCCCACTGCCCGGCCAGGGAGCGCCCGCTGGCAATGCCGTGCGTGTCCTTGCTGTCATCCCAGCCCCACACGCGTGACAAAAGCCCTTCCAACTGAAGCGGTCAATGCCGTACCGGGACTGCTGACGTACCTTCCCTGCACATAAAGATGAGAAGCGCGCCGACGTCATACCGGCCGCGTGGCCTAATGGATAAGGCATCGCCCTCCGGCACGTACGGAAGTAGGCGGGGATTGTGGGTTCGAGTCCCATCGTGATCGCAAAACGTTTTGCTTTCTGCCGTTTAACGGCTCGCATGCACGGAGGAACAGGCTGGAAGTGTAGTACAAGGGCAAGGTGTACTCATAGGTTGGTTGGAACCCTCGCCAACATCGACTCCTTCAACACGGCCCCCCATACTCGGCGCTGCACACATGTGTTGACATGTGCCTAAGCGTGAAGGCTGGCAAGGTGCGTCGCTGGAATCCGCAGCGATGACAACATCCTGTATTGCCGGGCCACATGCCCCAAGACCTAGCAGACAACACGACGCTTGCGGGGAGACGGGGGTCCCACTGGCCTTCTGCGCGGGTTCAGGGGTTCAGGGGCGGATGCTTGCAAGGCAGCTGCACATCCCGATATGGCTGGATGGCGGGTCGAACGAAGGCTACTGCTGCACATGAGCACATGGCTAGCTGGAATCCAGACCCTGCAGAGCTGCACATGCACAGATGCATGGTGCACACCTGAGATGACAGATAGATAGAGGAGAGAGGCAACCAGGCAACCGTGTCAGGAGGCCGGTTGGCTGGAGGGTAAGCGGTTCGGTCACTAGGATGCTGGGGTGCGAGCATGCCTACGCCAGCCACCGGAGTACCTGCCGTATTGAGTAAACAGCAAGCCATGTAGGCCCCTCCGCTCTACACGCACGTCCTCCAAGGCCGCAAGCAGACCCAAGTGCTGCCCAAGTCATCCGGCGGCTCCAAGACGCGCGCCGGTTGGTATCAGGCGTACATGCGCCAGCCCTTGCATGCTACTTCCCACTGCCCGGCCAGAGAGCGCCCGCTGGCAATGCCGTGCGTGTCCTTGCTGTCATCCCAGCCCCACACGCGTGACAAAAGCCCTTCCAACTGAAGCGGTCAATGCCGTACCGGGAGTGCTGACGTACCTTCCCTGCACATAAAGATGAGAAGCGCGCCGACGTCATACCGGCCGCGTGGCCTAATGGATAAGGCATCGCCCTCCGGCACGTACGGAAGTAGGCGGGGATTGTGGGTTCGAGTCCCATCGTGGTCGCAAAACGTTTTGCTTTCTGCCGTTTAACGGCTCGCATGCACGGAGGAACAGGCTGGAAGTGTAGTACAAGGGCAAGGTGTACTCATAGGTTGGTTGGAACCCTCGCCAACATCGACTCCTTCAACACGGCCCCCCATACTCGGCGCTGCACACATGTGTTGACATGTGCCTAAGCGTGAAGGCTGGCAAGGTGCGTCGCTGGAATCCGCAGCGATGACAACATCCTGTATTGCCGGGCCACATGCCCCAAGACCTAGCAGACAACACGACGCTTGCGGGGAGACGGGGGTCCCACTGGCCTTCTGCGCGGGTTCAGGGGTTCAGGGGCGGATGCTTGCAAGGCAGCTGCACATCCCGATATGGCTGGATGGCGGGTCGAACGAAGGCTACTGCTGCACATGAGCACATGGCTAGCTGGAATCCAGACCCTGCAGAGCTGCACATGCACAGATGCATGGTGCATACCTGAGATGACAGATAGATAGAGGAGAGAGGCAACCAGGCAACCGTGTCAGGAGGCCGGTTGGCTGGAGGGTAAGCAGTTCGGTCACTAGGATGCTGGGGTGCGAGCATGCCTACGCCAGCCACCGGAGTACCTGCCGTATTGAGTAAACAGCAAGCCATGTAGGCCCCTCCGCTCTACACGCACGTCCTCCAAGGCCGCAAGCAGACCCAAGTGCTGCCCAAGTCATCCGGCGGCTCCAAGACGCGCGCCGGTTGGTATCAGGCGTACATGCGCCAGCCCTTGCATGCTACTTCCCACTGCCCGGCCAGAGAGCGCCCGCTGGCAATGCCGTGCGTGTCCTTGCTGTCATC